ATCAGGAGACAAGAGCGTTCCAGTGTACTAGGTACACGTAGGGGAAGGATCGCAAGCGCTAACTCCAGACATTTCTATCGAACATCTCTCAGATGCTTCACAAACCCCCAAACCCATACAATGATACACTGAATTCAAGGTTTTTGACACAGGAAAGAGGAGAAATAAGGCAGCAAAACTCCATCTGCACCGACCTCTTTCGTCTTCGTATTGCTAGAGCTCTTCCAAGCGTCGGCGAGCGACCGCTCGCCCCGTACCCAGTGCAAGGTGAGGAACTGCAACAGATGGAACTTCTTGCCAAACTCTCGTTTTTGATTCGGTAAATAAGCGTTATGAGAACTCGGTTATCTTAACCTACTTTTGTGCAAGAACAATCTTGCCTTAACAAAGAAAATAATAAATCAACACAAACTCCCCAAAACCCAACACATGAGGTATTCGTCACAGGAAACCCAAAGACTCTTTGTGAACAGGTATCAAAATACATACATTGACAACAATTTTGTTTTCTGCTGTCACAGTGCACTCTAATTATTTAATCACTTTCATTGCAACAAAAGATCCAGCACAGATATAGTGAGAGGGTTTGACCACGTCCCACCGCTTTGACACGAAGAGCAGATCGACGGGTTAGGAACTGCGAGCCTTTGGATCACCTCAAAGAGGCAGGAATTTCGCCGTCGTTACAGCACGCTGCTCAAATTCCCAACGAGGGAAACGAAAGGGAAAAGGTTGGAGCTTCAGAAACTGGTACAATTGATCACCTAAAATCATGTTTTATTTTAAAAGTTTTGCTTTGGATTAGTTCAACCCAAAATCTGAGGAACAAGAACCCTTTTTTCGTACAAAGCACTATCAAACAGACGCACGTTTTTCCAGTTATCAAACACTTCTCGCCTTTATATTTGACACAAACGTTACGTAAAAGTCATGAAAGAGAATCTCCATGGAAGAGCTAATATTTCTTCAGAATAGGAAGATATGAGTAACTTTGATACCTCCCCAGGCAAACCACCGTGTCGTTGTCCACGCTGCACCGGTCTCTCCCACGCGATGCCGACGTGTCCAGTTTCTCCTTCCCGCCTCTCCTGCCACGACTGCTCACAAAACACTCATGGCAAATGCTCTCTCGGCCTTGTACGTTCACAGAGTGAAGCAGACAAGCTGAAAGTTTCCTTTTTTTTTCTCCCTTCTCCCATGTGTGCGCGTGTGAATTTTCTGCTGGCTGCCCAGACCCGGAGCACGTGGAAGGAGGACGATCTTCAGCCTGCCGTATTGCTTGCTGTAAGCGTGAGTGTCAATCACAGTGCACACCAAAATTCCAGTTGGGTTGCTCAATGTACAGGTTATCCCCCTTGAGGGTAGGATTGTCCCAGAGCTGTGGATGCTGAGATAAGCACAGTAATTCACAGACAGTCGCTGTTACAGTAACCTGAAGTCTTTCTCTCTTCACTTCCATCCATCCTTCAGAGCTCGAAGACAGAAAAGAGTGTCTCCTCCAAATGTGCTGTGCGTGACTGGACATTTTTTCTTAGAAACATGAATGCTAGGCATAAAAATATAACGAAAATAAGGCATTACAAATGAGTCGAAGTAAATTTACAGAGATCCTGCTCTTGACACAGATTAACTTTGGCCGTTTGTGACCAAAAAGAAAACAAAACCAGAAACTCCTTAAAGTAAATGCCAGAAAGTTCTGCCTGAGCAAAAAATTACAAGTTTAATTCTATTTTTCCCCAAAAGAACAAGTGATTCCTTGGTTGTAGAAGTCCATCAGAACCTGAGAGCAAAGGTCGCTGGTCACACTGTTGGTTGGGGATCTTCCCCTGCGAGAGGAACAGGGTAAGGCCCAGTGACAGTCACACACGTACCGTGGTGCTTCCCGAGGGGAACTGCTGCTACAGATCAGCGAAGGGAAAACGCATCATTGGAGTGTTCTCCCCGAAATCTTACCCCTGTTCCCCAATTTTCCTATGTTCTTCATTTAGGGCACAGAGAAAGCCGGTCTTTTCAAACCCATCGTTAACACGGATACAGTACTCTGCAGAGGGGGGGTGTGCGTGTGGGGACGGACAGGGACACCATGAAACCCTGTTCATTCCCCTGAGCAACATCCTAGATCAATCAGAAAAGTACATGGAAGAAACTGTTCTTAGAAATGTGAGGTTTTGCTTCTTCTTTAATTACTGAGTGCCAATTAAAATGACATCCCAGTCACAAGGAAGCAAAGTGTGAGAAACCCACAAATTTAAAAGAAACTCAGCTAAACGGGAGAGGAAAAGGACTTTTCTTATCCTGTCCTTGCCTGAATTTATTGGATGAAAATGTAAGATGTGCAGCTTTTATTTTTAAAATCCCGGAAAAGGTTGGGAAGAAGGTGAACTGAGGGTCAGCCAGAGTCTGCAGGATTGAGAGATCCTTCTTCAGGGCTGGAAGTGGCACATGCCTTTATGTTTTTAAATTAAATAAACATTAGCCTTGTGGAAAATTCTCCGTAGGGTATGAGAGAGTTCACGCAGCCTGCTAGCGGCTGGAGCGTTAGCTGCCTGCCACAGGAACACAAATACGACAGATTCATTCACACGTCTGCCGAGTCCAGGCCAGTCTGCCAACGAGCGCGTAGGGAAGCCACTCCAGGAGCTGCGTGCCGTCACGTCCCCGTCCCCACAGCCTTTCCCGTCCCGCTCCATGAGAGCGGCGATCCCTAAAGCGGGTCACGGCCAGCGACCGAAGCGTTTGCAACCAGAAAGAGGGAGAAGATACAAGGCTTGAGAACTTCCGACTGAAGTTTTGACAGTGCTTGTCAGCGGGAATTCGGTAAGGATCCATCCTGATGCGCGATCAAAAGGAGAACGTGTGCGTTAGTAAAGGAACTCCCATCCCGGCACGCTTGGTTTTCCAAAGTTAACTTGTTGTTACATTCAGTCTCCCGAGACCACACGCCACATGGCAGCCCACGGGCTGAAAATGACACTGAAAACCAATAAAGCTGGTTTTCAGTCTGGGGGGGGCAAAGGGGGAAAACAGCTGGATTGTCCGCAAGCAACAACCGGGCTCTTTCTTTATGCTCCTAAACCTCAGGAACATGTTGTTTATATTTGCACAGACACATATTACGTAGAACTCCACAAAATCTAAGAGTGTTCCAGAGTAAACTATTTTTCATGACAAGTGTCGACTAAAGGATGAGGCTGGGTGACCAAGAGCTTTGGCCCCGGGTGGGGGAGGAATGAGGGAGCAAACAAACAAAACCAGAGGATGGGATGGAAGTCGAGACAGACCCTTCACCACCATGGCACCAGCGGGCAACGTAGTAATATAATGCACAAGAAACAGGCATGTCCAAGCTCCACGTAACCAGTGGCACCAAAACATGCAGCAGACTAAAATCTATCCTATTGTTTCCCTGCGATAAATGAAACACGGAATATATAAGTCACTACACCAGTATTCAAAACATGATGCCACTAAATATTCCTTTCAGTGGCCAAACACTTGGACAAGGCATCAAGTAGAAACCAAGACCCAACGCATCGCTGTTTGTGTTCTCCTCCTCCGCTTCACAGTGACCCGACACCGGATCCCGAAGCGCGGCGTGAACGGCTCTGCCGGGCGAACATCAGAGACGCGGGTACGTGGGATGAGGGCGTTAGAGTTCACCCCCGGGAAGTGCTCAAGCAGCAGTTCACCACTAACCTTCAGCAGAAGTCCAAGAATGAGTTAAATAGGAATTTTAATGTCTTGAACAGAGTCTCTTCATCTGAAACAACAGGGTTGTACCCACAGAGCAGCATCGAGCGGGTCAGACAGTACAGGACTTGTCAGCAGGCTGCTGAGAGGCGGAGGAGGCGACGCCAGGGCTCGCGGCGTTCGTTTTGGGGAACACCGTAGGCTTGGGCCGAGTCGCCGGAGGTTTCACCTGGGTGGCCATTTTGACCGACTTGACTGGCCTGAAGGTGCACGGTATGTCGCCGGCCGTGCTGGCGCTGCGCTGGAAAGCTGGTTCAGTGTCCTTGAGGATCTGAGTGTGCAGAGGGCTGGAAGGTTCAGAGGTGGGGGCCACCACCGGAGACGTTTTCAAAGGCTCCAGAGTGTCGAGGACAACATCTGGCGTGTGCTTGACGCTGCTTTGCCTTTCCAGCTCGCGCAGCTCGTTCAGAGCAGAGTTCATAGTAGCTTCGATATCCTGCGAAGACAAAAGAGAAACGGAGTGAATAACAGAACCCAGACGCGCAAAGAGAGATCAAAGTCAGCCTTTGAGAACGCTGTATTTCTCTTCAGCCTGTAAACACCAACACTCGCATCGAGTGGCAGGTCAAGGACCTTTAGGTGTCAAAGCGAAACCAGGCCGGGCTGCACAGCATTACACACTGAAGCCAACACTCCGTAATGTTTTCCATCTACAGGGAGCAAAATAATTGGTAACGCCTTCCCGATGCTCATCTGGTCCTTTACTGGTCCCGATGCTGCTTGGACTTCAAAGGCGAGCGCAACCCCAAATGCAGGAATAAACAGAAGAGGCACGTGATTTGAAGTATTAGGATCCAGTTCTTGTTCGTTATTTGACAGGTGAGATTCAGGAGTGAGAACCCTCGAAGAGGATTGATGATTTTGACACTGGCTGGTGGGCTACAACCCGACTCTGAAATCCTTGGGTGCTCTTGCTGTCTCATTGGTTTGCCTACTGTCTGAGTCGTCTCCCCTTCCCAGAAAGGTTTTACATAGGACTCAACATTCCAATGTTTTAGAAAACACAGAAGATATCAGAAACGTAGAGAGAAATTCAAGATGGCACTTGTCCTTCCTCTTATCGAATCCCAGACTGGGTTGGGTGGGAAGGGACCTTAAAGCCCACCCAGTCCCCCCCCCTGCCATGGGCAGGGACACCTTCCACTAGACCAGGTTGCTCCAAGCCTCATCCAGCCTGGCCTTGGACACTCCCAGGGATGGGGCATCCACAGCTTCTCTGGGCAACCTGTCCCAGTGCCTCCTCACCCTCTGCGGGAAGAATTCCTTCCTGATGTCCCATCTCAATCTCCCTCTTTCCGTTTAAACCTGTCACCCCTTGTTCTGTCACTCCCTGCCCTTGGAAAAAGTCCCCCCAAAGCTTTCTCTTAGCCACCCCCAGGCACGGGAAGAAATATTACACTTATTAACGAATACAGAGAGCTTTGAGATAAAAACGTGGCTCTTCATTGTTGGCCGTGTCAGGACCCACACGCTTGCTCCAGCCCGTGCTGCAGAGCCCACTGATGCACAGAGTTCACTGGGGAGCCAAGAGCTCAGCCTTTCTGTGACTCACAGTTTGGCTACAGCTTTTTAGCTTCCTCAGAGGTTTTTCAGGGGGTGGGGAAGGTAAATCAGTCAAGGAATGGTGGAAGAAACCAGAGACAGAAATCTGACACCCCCGAGTCTATCTCCAGGCCAGGCAGATTTTACTTAGGAAGTTCAGGGAAACACGTAAGATGCACAATGATTAGATGGTGTTTGAACAGACACAGGGCAAAGAGAAACACTAATTTAACACAGCTTGCCCCTTGCTTTCTTTTTTTTCCCTCCCTCCTCTTTTCTTTTTCTCCCAGACTCTTCTCCAGTGAAAACAATGGAGTTAAGGTTCTGGCATGAAGAGGAGACAGGACAACTTCAGTTAGAGCTTAATTGAAAAAACAAAGAAACTGATTTATGTCAACCAAAACCCTGGAAGAACAATGAAATATGAAGACAACAAGAACCAGATATTATAATTCCACTGGAATAAACGGGCTAAAGTTCTTCATAATGGCAAAATACAGCTTTCCATCAGAGTAGGTATTGGATTTTTATCTGGACCTTATTTATGAATTGCTCTTGCTCTTTTGTCACTAAAATGATGTTTAATTTCCACACATCTTTCCCCAGCTCTTCAGAAACCCACAAACTCCTGAAGCAGGCAGAGGAGTCAGGTCTCCCAGGGCTGGCTTTGTAATCGGAGCCCCAAGCATTCCTTGGCTTTAGACAGACCCATCGCATACTGAAACCAGTTGGTATAGGCATACGTGTGCAGGCACATCTATCAGCTTGGAGTGGGAGAAAGGGAAGATCCTTGGTGGAGGAGGGAAAGCTGTGACATTGACATCACTCATCCCATTAGGAGTGGTCACCTGCTCCAATCTAAGCCTGACTTTCAACTGTTTTCTGTCCTACTCGTGCAAGCCCAGACGCACGGGGATGCAAAGGCACCACGTGCGGTTGTTAACAGCAGTCGCTGCCGTGGCATACTAAGAACACCTTTCCCTTTAAGCTGCGCAGGAGGAATTGGGGACGACTGCTTCCTTGCTGTCTGGTCAGTGTGTGGAGTCAGTCCCAGAAGCAGAGCTCTCTGCGAAGTTAAAACACAGCTGCGTACGCACCAGGAGCCTGCCTTCGCTTCAAGGCACTTGTCTAAATAAACAGCCAATGAAAACGAGCAGTATTATGTCCAGTATTATGTTCCAAGGTGGTTTCTAATCACACCCTAAACCCTGTAAGTATATAAAGATGCCGCTGTGAGCCCCGTACAGCTCAGCAGCCTGCTTTTGACCGTACTACTCCGTGTGCTTCCAATGTCTAACCACAGGCAAGTCTGCACAACTGACAGGAGAATGTTAAATCGACACTAAATCCTTCACTTTGCTCATGCCTTGAAGTTAAGATTGCTTAATTTTTTGCTGACAGCTTTGGAATCTGTGCAGCTTTCCAAAAGGGACGTTTTTATTGTTGAAACAAAGTTCTGAATAATGAACAGGGCCAAGTTTTTATGGAGGAAGGACCTGAGTGTTTATCTTCACTCATGAAAGGAGCCTCAGTGACTTACACACAGCGAGGCTGAAAGAGTAGACTCAGGCTGTGGAGTAAGTTAATACTGGACTGCGAGAAGGGAGGGGATGCAAGATTAAATCAGACTTCACCTTAAAACAGCTCATTGTATCCAACAACCTTCAAGTTTCCAAACCAAATCTTTGGGGCAAAGCAGTCCCGTTTACCTGTGCAATAACTTCAGGGTCCATCGGCCGATGGTTGTTGAAGCTCTTGGACCTCCCTGCTGTCACCGTTTTCCGGATCTGCGGGCTGTCTATCCTGTTCTTCAGAGACGAGTGTCGGCTGATAGAATTGAGGCTGCCGTGGCCACTGATGGAGCATTTATCTGGAACCTCCTTGGGAAGACTTTGGCTCATAATGGGCTGAGATGAGGGTCTGGAACCGGCTATGGCTCCTGGGGAGGCTGGTTCTGCCATTGAACTACCTAGTCCGTGGCTGTCACTTTGACGGAAGGCTCTTCTGATGCTGCCTGACTCTGGTTTCTTTCTTTGCCTTCAGTCACAAAAGCAAAACAAGTCAATACAAGCAGGTACACGTAGCTGAAATTTGAAGATACCCCCCCAAAACAACACAGTGGACAACGGGGAGAGACAAAGATATCCAGATTACAAATACACCCAGGCTTTTAGGAGGCTTTGTGAAACAGTGAAACTGTAAGGCACCCCAGTTTAACACTTCTAACACCAAGGCTGAGCTTCTGGCAGCTGTGCACATTCAGCAAAACCAGAAACCTTGGATGGAACGTTGTTAAATTGGTCAAGAGGCAAAGAATTTGTATTTGAACAAAAAAAAAACCAACAAACCCTCCGTGCCATCGACAGGTTTTGATGATGTGTTTTTATTACATTAGAAGAGCAGAGCTACAATTTTTGACTGGAGGACACAGTATAAGTCTACTAAGCTCCCGGCCCAAGGCATCAAGTGGTTATTTTCAGAGATTGGCAAGCAAAGAACCCCGTAGTTTGGGGTTAACGATCATTTCCAATGTCTGCTGGTGGTAACAGAGGTTTCTTTGTCATTGCTTTAGCAGGACCATGAGGCATTATGTATGTCAGGCTACAGAAATACAACAGATGATGTCAAAGGGATGAGCTGGTCCAAACAATTTAGTTTCTACCCCAGCACCATGTGGTCTGACAGCACGATTCCACTCAAATCGTACGAAGGCCAATGCAGCAGAATACTTTATGCCATAGGTCTGAAGCTTGGCATCCATTATACAGAGAAGGATCCATTTATATATAGCACCAGCCCCATGAATAACTGCAAGAAAGTGTTAACTCCAGTAGGATTTTGGCATCCAAATAATAATTCAGTGGGTGGCACAACTGTCATTGCGAAACCATCTGATTTAATTTTGCCCAAGTCTGTTCACACATAGGTCAGAAGATTCATTCCTAAAGAAAAAACAACAAAATGAGTCTTATGCTACTATTGCTAAATATCAGTTTCCCTAGTAAAGGGAAAAAAAACCCCTGGAGTGGACATTACCCAGGCTGCTTAAAAACACGACACACAACGCTACCCATGCCAGCAGATGGTGAAGCTCCGACATAGCTCCCTTCCTTACACGTATCTTTCCGAAGCTGGCAGAATGGCATACTGCATTGGCTCAGACAATAACCACCATAAAAGAAAGCCCAGATCCCGAGCTGATGCAGATGAACACAGCTTCACCGGTATCAACGAAGCTCTGCCAACTCCCGTAAACTAAGGACCAGGCTCTGTGCAGGACATCAGCAGGTCCAAACCTTTAAAAAGGGCATTTCCGTTAATGCCTTTACAGACTACATTCTGTTGAATTAACTGAAGGTTAAAAATATCCACACTCAAAGCCATAATTACCCTATTAATGCCTTCACTGCACAATAGAGATGTGGGATTTTTAAATACGAAGAAAATAATCAGAAAGATATGGGGGATAAGTCTGCATTAGAACAATGAAATAACAGCTCAAGAATAGTCTGTTACTAGCTTAATTTCCCAGGTTTTTTATTGAGTGTCGACCGAGGTAACAATTTCTGGTCGAGGAGGTAAAGTTAGAGCAGCAGGGAGGTGTGTTGTCTCACTGCAAGCATATGGTTAGTAACCTAAGGTGAGAAGTGCTGGGGAAACGGGGGAATGTTATGGGCAGTGCCAGATGGTGGGACTTAAGGTATGTTGTTTAGCACAAAATGTGACACTAGTTTCTGGAGAAATCGTCTGCCATCCCATAAAATGAAACATGTTAGATGTAAACGAGACATAACAAATCACACAACATAACGAGGAATGGCAACACAGGCTTACAAGAACCAACGTTGCTATTCCCCTCGCTCTCTCCCTGTGCTTAGCTGGTAAAATAGGACATATTTGGGACAATGGGAACAGATGGCACCTTAGGGATAGGGAAAAGAAGCCAGCAGGATTTTAAATGAGCACTGACCACACTGGTGACAGAGAGAGAGGACAGCAAAATGCGAACGTGTTAGGAGAGGAGGAAGCGGAGAATTCAGCTCATCAGTTAACCTTTCCCAGGAAAGGAGATATTTTACTGGACTCATCACCAAAATCTTTACAGTTACGTAAAATAAGGCAAGGCTGTTCTTACTTGTTGATGTTTGCAAGGTAAATATCTGCGACGTGACCCCCGCTTGGGCAACTGGCACCAGCTCTAGCAGTCACCTTTTCTTCCGGTGGCTCAGAATTTATTTCTATTTCAGACTTCGGACTGGATCTTTCAGAGACACCATCCTCACTAGGAAGGAGGAGGGAAGGAAATCACCACCAAAACAGGACCAACAGCGCTGAATTTCAAACACAGCACCGTGTATGAACATACAGACAGGACAACAGCACTGTGCTAGCATCTTTCTCTTAAAAATCGTTATGTTTCTTACAAAGGATAGCGCCTGGTTTCTGTGAGCAGCCTGGAGTTCCCAGCTCTGCATCTTTAGCAGGCTGGCAGCACCAGAACCAATTTTGTATCGTGCCTCCACATAGGTGGACACCTACGCCTCTGCGGAGCTCTGCTTGTTTCAAGGGGACTCCCTTCTTGCAGGGCCGGCCGAAGGATGAACTCTCCCCACCTCGTGCCAACACCCTGACACAAACCCTCCATTCCACAGCGGAGTTTTAAGCAAGCCCATCTTGCAGATGGGCTTAAAGAGTAACATACGTGTCTTGGACGACGATATACTGATGAGGAATAAGGCCGTCAATTCCATTGTGGCGTCCCTCCCACCAGTCATCTGAGGCCCGCTGATAGAGTAAGAGAGAAGCTCCTTTTTTAAAGGACAGCTCTCGTGCAGTCCTGCCAATGTAGTCGAACTTCGCTATCGCTTCTATGGGCTCACACTCTAGGAGATAGAAGGGAATAAACAATAATTCACTAAACACTTGGGCTCAGTATTCAACAGTTTAAACCCACCATCAAACATGACGAGAGCATGGAAGAGGATAAAGTGTTGCTTCTGAAGGCAGCAGAGGGTTGAAGCAGTGAGATTCAGAAGGGAACCCCTATAACACGAGGATGTTGCAACTTCAGCATTTACCTAATCTCCACGTGGTGGACACATTTCTGTTTCCCAAGTCATAAACCCACTTACCCATTCAAGTGTACAAAGATGGAAGTGGCAATGGCAAAATCAGTGTCTCATTAAAATAAAAGAAACATTTCCAAGCTGGGCAGCAATCAGGCACATTCCAGACAAAAACCTGCCTACAGAAAGCTTTCTTAAAGGCAGCTAAACTAAACCTTCTGGGCAGGCAGGCAGGAGCTGCTATTAGCATTTAGGGAGGGAAACGTCCTCCGATTCCAAGCTGCTTCAGAAATAAAGCATCTATTCAGAAGGAAATTTCTGCTGCCTGTGAGGTTCACCTGACCCAGGAGACCGGATTCTGGCACCATGGGAGGCTGTGCTATTCATTGAGCTGTCATGGAAGCTAACGAAAACATTCACTGCTGCCACCGCCATGGTCTGTGCAGGGATCAGGAGAGCAGGCGGCTCCCCCGGGCTCCGTGCAGCCGGGCTGCAGTGTGCACGGTGAGCACAGCGGCACCGCGCTGGGGCGGCACGACATGCTCCAAATCCGGCTGCTCCGACTCGGAAAGCTCACAGGGCTACAGCCGTGCTGTGTCCATAACCAGCCACTGATCCAGGTCCCTGCAGGACTCTGGTATTATACAGGGTGACAATACGGGCATTTAAGACACTCAGGATAATCAATATGAAATTCACATGGATTATTTCTAAGACTCTGAAAAAATCTGCTGCTGGTTGAGCCTAAATATCTATTAAGCCAGGTCCCAATTCTAGGCAGGAATCGTGGGAACAGAGATGAGCTCAACCCCACAGTCCCAGTGGACTTCAGCCTCTAATTACTTTAAAGGAGCTTTAACATAGCCCAGTGGTCCATAGAAATGGAGTTCTTTCCCGGAGAAAGAGATCTGTGGTTCCTCTTCCTGGACATGCCATTTCAAAGAGAGATCTCCTCTGCACCATGGGAAGTTTCTGCAGGGCAAGAGCCAGCCAAAAAGGCCTGGAAGGTCAAACATGAGCCACAGACTTTCTGCTTATTCCTTGGGAGAGCGTATCCTCAAGAGTTAGGTCTCCAAGGCTGCCCACAGGCAGGAAAGATAGTAGCTGGGCTTGAGAAAAATAGATGGTGTAAGTCCGTCTGAGCGAGGTGACGCTGCAGTACCGCCGTCTCGTCGGCTGGTCTGAGAGCAGAGCAGAAGCATCCTCCCGCCCAAAAAGCCCCACCAGCATCCGGAGGGACAAAGGCACTGAGTTGTGGAGGGCATTTAGCAACAGGATCTGCTAGATCGACCCCCCTGACAATTAATTGCTCCGTTACTAAACCAGACAGCCCAGAGGCCTGGCAAATCACACGTTTTGGGTGAGCCTGTGGTCAGCCTCGCTCGAATCCCGTTACCGGCCCTCGCCAACCAGCGAGAGATTCGCAAGGGTGAGAACAGCCCGGCCCGCGTTTGCCGCCTGCGACAGCCGCCTCGCTCCAGACTCCCCAAAGCACACTTATCTGGCTGCGGCTCCTTCTTTCCTCCTGCTCGTTTTGCCTCCGGAGCCAGCTTCTTCATGGCACTAAAAGAGGATAACGCTGGTTTTTGGTGTCCCCCTTCGTTTTCGAAGGGGATGGGAGCGTGGTTTCGTGAATTCCATCTGTTTCATTAAGAAGTGTTTATTGTTCCAGACGAGTGCAGCACTCAGGTTTCTTATGTTTCCAATTTGCTTTTTAGGACTCTGGCTTTTGTCCAGAGAAGTGATTTTAGACTCTAATTTCCAGTAGCTTTTTCCTACTATACTTATGCTCAGAGAAGAAAGCTGTGTGAATAAAGAGCAATAAGGCTAAGCCAAACAATTACCCCTGCCAGTCTGACAGCCTGTGCAGGAAAGCAGCAGTTGAAAGTCTTTCCACTCACACACACAATTTACTGAACACAGGAGCTGCTTGGCTTTCAGCATCGCTGACCTCTGATGCCTGTCTCAAACCAGAGACCACTCACTCGTGCAAGCAAGGCCGTCAACAGCCCGGACGGCTTGCAAAACGCGACCTCTCCCCCTTCCCCAAACCGATCCCTTCCCTCAGCGAAGGCGGCTGGGATGACAGCTTTGCTTCGGGAGGACTAGTGCCAGGTTCATGGAAGGGCTAAAGGAGCAAGTGCTTGGTCATATCTAAAGACTGACGGAGCAAGAAGAGCCTCTGTCCCACCGAGTCGGAGTCGTGTGCTGCTCTTCTGCCGAGTACGCCCGAATGTGACGCTGCACAGCTCAATTAGAAGGTGTGAGACTCCCTGGTTAACCAGACCTTGCTGCTCCCTCAAAGAAACAGAGGCCCAGCTCCATCCTCTGCTTCAGTGCCAAACACTCCCTCGCAAATGCTTCCTATGGAATATTCCATGTAAGCTGCACAACTCCGTCCAAAACGCCTCCAAGTTTCACCTTGCTCAGGGGCCCCACGCAATCTACTTCCAGAGGCTGCAAACCAGTGTCCTTGCCTAATCTCCCACTGCTCACGATGCCATTATCGTGCCCTCGCAGCTACACGAGCGACCTAAAAAATCCCACATGGGAACAACGCAAGAACACCCCATGGTGTTTCAGCCTGCAGACTTGTTCCCAGGCCTTGCACATGCGGATGAGTTAGCCTTTCCTTCATCATGGCAGTGAAACTGCTCCCTTTTTAGGTACCAACTCCAAAAGGACACTTTTTCCTGTGTGTTTAAACACCTAACACTTCTCAGAAAGAACACTGTTCAGGAGAGCAAACTCCTCTTTCCTTCCCATACCCTTTGAGTTTCCTCCCAGTAATTCTAGTGAGGAGTCGCTGTGACAGCGCTCGCCCCTGACGAGGGAGAACTGATTTTCTAGCATTTCTAGCAGTGCTCAACACTGTTCATTTAGTTCTTGGTGTGTGAACACCGCAAAGCCAGCCAGGGCACAGCAAGGCCAGGGGAAAGGTTTGTTAGGCAACTCCTGGAGCAGAGAGTAAAAAGCAGCGCAGGAGCAGGGCCATTGAGTAAACTGCTAGAGACCAGCTCAAAAAAGGTAACACCTAATTTTAAGGGAATCCTACCTTCTTCCCACCTTTACAACCGACACCATCACAAGTAAAACCATGGCAGAACTTGCATAGACAATTTTAAGGGCCAAAACCCAAGAATAATCCCGTGTTCTGCCCTGTTTTGGTCAGTCTGCTCTACCTGCTGGTCAGTGTTCTGGGGATCAGCGTT